CCTGGCTGTCTCTCTTTGCTCGCCCTCCCTCCTGGCTGTCTCTCTTTGCTCGCCCTCCCTCCTGGCTGTCTCTCTTTGCTCGCCCTCCCTCCTGGCTGTCTCTCTTTGCTCGCCCTCCCTCCTGGCTGTCTCTCTTTGCTCGCCCTCCCTCCTGGCTGTCTCTCTTTGCTCGCCCTCCCTCCTGGCTGTCTCTCTTTGCTCGCCCTCCCTCCTGGCTGTCTCTCTTTGCTCGCCCTCCCTCCTGGCTGTCTCTCTTTGCTCGCCCTCCCTCCTGGCTGTCTCTCTTTGCTCGCTCTCCCTCCTGGCTGTCTCTCTTTTCTCGCCCTCCCTCCTGGCTGTCTCTCTTTGCTCGCTCTCCCTCCTGGCTTTCTCTCTTTGCTCTAGCAGGCTTCACACTGCTAGAGCATTGGGGTTTTGCTTTAAGAAAAGGTGGCAACACTAATCAGCTCACCTCCCGGGTGAAAGGGGACTAGGGCTGGATCTAGCAAAAAGCTGAGGGTGCCGGGAAGGGGAGTTTTGACCTGTGCAGGCTGTAAAATCCATGCATTGGCCCTGGGCCCCCCCGCTGGACATCTGCCTCGCTCTACCATCACTTATCGCAGTTCAATTAAATTTTTTTAATTATGGGTGTAAGTGGGGCCTCACATTTGAGTTTTGCCTAAGGCCTCACAAACTCTTGAGCCGCCTCTGCGTGGCCCCTAGTAACCGCTGATTACCAGGGTATTTAATATCCCTGTAACCCCTAATATACTTTTTTTTAGTCTACATTTTTTTTTAAAACAATGTGCCTATTTTTTTTCCTCTTGGGGGGGGGGCCTTCATGGATTCTTGCAGAAGTCTTAGGAGGAGCGGAGGGGACGGTTAGGGTGATACTTTGAGATATATCCGGGGGCAGAGTTGTGGATGGCTTTGTAAGTCATTGTTAATATTTTGGGCTATTGGAAGCCAGTGTAGGGATCGGCAGAAGGGGGCGGGGGATGGAAGCCAGTGCAGGGATCGGCAGAGGGGGGTTGCAGACACTGAGCAGTTGGTTAGGTGAATGAGTCTAGCAGCATTTATGATAGACTGAAGGGGGGAGGAGCCTGTATAGAGGTTGGCCAATGAGGAGGGAGTTGCAATAGTCAAGGATATTGCTATGGATATTGTTAGGTCACTGATCACATCCAATGCAGGATTCATAGACCAACATTTTAAATGTGAGGATGCTGAGGGACATCCACCAGCTGATGCAGAGGGGGAGAAGAGGAGGATCAAGGATCAGGTAAGTAAATCTGCTTTACTGCTGCCCCTAGACACAAAAGAGCACTTCACCCTGACAGCACTGGCGGAGCCTCACTGCAAGAGCAGATTTACTTACCTGATCCCCACTCCCATCAGTCTGCTGTATCAGTCCCCATAGCCTCCTTCTTGCTGAGGTCATGAAGTACAATGCAGGTTCCATAGCCCTGCATTGTGTGTAAGTACACCAATGGACATTTCACAACCAGAGGGTAGGGGAGAATAGCGATGACTGCTGGGGAAGCTGGGATAAGATAATTAAATCTGCTTTACTTCAGCCCCCTAGAGAAAAATGAGCACTTAACCCTTGCAGTGCACGGGTAGCCCCACTGCAAGAGTACTATTTTTGTTAGCTGGCAGATGGCCTTTAAATACCTTTTCTGTACTGTAGGTGTTTTTCCCAGAGTGGCAGAGAGATGAGCCTATCAATGTGCTTCTTCTTCTTTCACTGTCCAATCACCAGCATGACCTGGGCGGGGAGGAAGCGGGTTGGATGAAGATGGCTATTAGACTGAGGGCATCTAGTGGCAGAGAGTGGTACTGCAGGGAAATCGCTGGATTGTAAGTGAATATTGCAGCAAAAGTTGGTTATATTTCATCATTTAATAGGCGATTCATTTTTATCTTTTTATTTTTAGCTGGGATTCGGCTTCAGTGATTCTATTTTTGAACCACCACTCTGTATAGGTCAGACGTGCTGTAGTGTCTACATATACACTGTTCCAGTTCCAGTGACAAGAGAAGTCCAGCGAAGTCCACTGTGTTCTGACAGCGGCGGACAGCAGCTGATTGGCTGCGAGCTCCATTCGGCAGAAGATTTTCTATCCAGCACCTTGGATCTTCTGAGGGATGCCGGCCAGAAGGGTGCTGACAGCTGCACTCCGTGTGAATTTTGGCTGGTTCATAGTGTGGCCGGCTTAACAGAGGGTCAAAATATGCCACACTTTTAGGGATGCACCAATACCAAGTATTTGGGCGAGTACCAATGCTCGCGATACCTATCCTAATAGCGGAACTTCCGGTATCAGGAAGCCGGGTGGCAAGTCATTACACGCCGCCTGGCTTCCTGATTGGCTTGGAATCCAGCTCCATGCTCCCTCATCACATAGTGATGAGGAAGCATGGAACCAGCTTCCCGGTCAATCAGAAAGCTGGGCACCGTGTAATGACTTGCTGCCCAGCTTCCTGATTAGTCTGGAAGCTGGCCAATCAGGAAGCCAGGCGGCTAGTCAGTAACCATCCCCCCTCCAGCTTCCTGATTGGCTAGAAATGCGGCCATACTTCCTCGCCACTTGGTGATGAGGTAGCATGGAGCCAGCTTCCTACCCAATCAGGAAGCCAGGTAGTGTGTAATGACTTGCTGCCTAGCTTCCTGATTGGTCGGGAAGCTGGCCAATCAGGAAGCCGGGTGGCGAGTCATTAACCGCCACCCAGTTAATGACTCGCCAGGTGACGAGAAAGCCAGCCATGCTTCATCATCAACTGGTCATGAGGTACCATGGAGCCGTCTTCCCGGCCAATCAGGAAGCCGGGCGGCGTGTAATGACTCATTCGCCCAGCTTCCCGACTAGTCAGGAAGCTGGCCAATCAGAAAGCCAGACAGCGAGTCATTACCCCCCCCCCCGGCTTCCTGGTTGGCCAGAAAGCCAACTCCATGCTCCCTCTGGTGATGAGGGAGCATGGATGGAGACAGCTTCCTGGCTAATCGGGAAGCCGGGTGGCGAGTCATTACATGCCGCCTGGCTTCCTTAATGGGACTTCGGGTATCGATATTGGCAAGTACTGAAAAAAATATTGGTACTCGTACTCGATACCGAAAAACCGGTATCGGTGCATCCCTCCACACTTTATCGAAAACTAAGAAAAAAACTAAATATTTTGCCTAGAAATACACTTTTGTGAAGTTAGGGGTCATCTCTGAAAACCTACCGTAGCATTGCATTCAATGATTTTTAAGGGTGGACCTTCAATGGCACCCGGGGCGCACTTGAGGCCCCTTATATTATAAGCATACAACAGTACTAACAGTCCCTTATTTGAAACCAAATCCCTCTCCCTCTTTCCTTCTCAGTTGTCCCTTTTTTTTGTCCAGTGTGTCCACCTTTATAAAACAAAACATAATGCACTAGTGATAGCCAACGTAAAGGAAATGTAGAGGAGAAAACAAAAACACTTGCTGGTTGAACCAATCTATTTCACGGATTAAGGACCGGTCCACATTAGAGAGTTGCGCTAAAGGCGCGCTATCCCTGCGTTTAGCACATGCTATCACACTGAGGAATGGACTGCACACTAGTTGTGTTGAGTTGCCATTTATTCTGAATGGCACCCTAATGCACATACCGGCAGGTGTGCATGCACAGAACCGCAAAAATGTGAGTTGCAGTGCAAATAAATAGTGCGTGCATCATTTTTTTCCCCCACCGCATGGCAGCACAATATTGCAGTACTGTGCATCGCTGCATGGAGGAGCGACGGGGTGCCATTCAAAACAAATGGCAATGGGCCAAATGAACCCAGTGTGCGGTGCATTGTGCTGTTAGTGCAGGCTAAAAGCATGGTATCTGTGTGAACTGGCCCTTTGGCCCCCCTTGGCGTAGCGGTAACGTGCATCATGTTCACGCATGGTTTTCCTGCTCTTGCGCATTAATGTGAATAAGTGTCGCATGCATGACAAATGCGGGAAAGTAGCTCATGCAGCAGATTCTGCTACTGTTATATTGCGTTTTTCTCACGCACGTTTGCGCATGTTTGTGTTAACGGCATCACAAATGCAACACACGTCTTGGGGACTAATTATCCTTGGCCCACACCATTGGGGGTGTTGTGTCCTTTGCCTGCTTAGAAACTTGGGAGGCATTTATGAGAGCTGACTTTCATTCATACAAAGTATCACTTTCTCCAGCAATCGAACGATCACATTGCAGCGAGTGGAGAGAGCGCCCCCTGGCGGCCAGTTGCGGTACTGTAAGCTCTCAGCCCAGTCTCCTCCCTGTTACATTCCATCAGATCGCAGGGTCAGAGGCAGGAGGGAGCAGACTGGACTGTGTGTGTACACGGAGCAGAGAAAGCAGGACTGTGTGCAAGCATCGGAAGAGGGCAGGACTGTGTGCCAGGATCACAGAAAGCAGGACCGTGTGCCAGGATCACAGAAAGCAGGACCGTGTGCCAGGATCAGAGTGCAAGGGATCACAGAAAGCAGGACTGTGTGCCAGGATGACAAGAAGGCAACACTGAGTGCAAGGGATCACAGAAAGCAGGACTGTGTGCCAGGATGACAAGAAGGCAACACTGAGTGCAAGGGATCACAGAAAGCAGGACTGTCTGCAAGGATCAGAGAGGGCAGGACTGTGTGCAAAGGATCAGAAGAAGGCAACACAGTGCAAGGGATCACAGAAAGCAGGACTGTCTGCAAGGATTAGAGAAGGCAGGACTGTGTGCCGTGATCAGAGAGGGCAGCACTGTGTGCCAGGATCAGAGAGGGCAGCACTGTGTGCCAGGATCACACAAGGCAGATCCTGCTATTGCTCCACCAGGCAGCCACCTGAAGACAAGCATTGCCTGCCCTTCTAACTCAGCAGCTTGCTCCATCTGCACATGCTTCTCTAGCTCTGATCTGCCCATGCCCCCTTCCACAACCCCTCCTACCCCATCCCTGTTCCACTCCATAACCCCTCCTACCCCATCACTGTTCCACTCCATAACCCCTCCTACCCCCCTTCCACTGCACCAGTGACCCCTCCTACCCCAGGCACCCTTCCCTGTGAGTCACCGAACATGGTGGAGAGCTCTGAGCAGCAGGGGGAGGGCTGGAGCCCAGCACGTTAACTCCGGTGCTGCCAACTTCCAGCACCGATCACCCCCATGTACCATGGCCCGCTGGATACCCACCAAGAGGGAGAGGTTCGGAGTGGGTGAGTGTGCCATCCCTGCATAGTCAGTGGAGCTGTTAGCTGACAATGAACTAGCTCTGATTGCTTTCCCTGGGGAGAGAAAAAAAAAAAAGATTCCCTTTGGAAACTTTGTATTTATGTTTTTAAAAATTGTTACATTTACTTCCTAATTGTTTATAAATATGTATTGTCTGTCAGTCCTGTAGGATACAATGTTGCAGCATAGGCAGGTTTGGGATTGTATGAGACAGTCAATGTGCCTGGAAATCAATGCAGAGATGGATAAAGTATTGTTCCAGGCTGACAGGCAGCTATGGCACCTGCAGTGTCTGGCAGTTCAGTCTCAGGTGGAGCTTAGTCTGTGCCAGCTTTGCAGGAATTGCTGTGTACAACCATTGACATATGCTGGGGGCAGGATTGCAATGTGCAATGGTCATACCTCTGTGATCTATGGCAGCAGTAGATTGCTTGTGAAGTTTTCCAGACCTCATTTGCATGTTGCTGTGCCTGTCCTTGCACTCTCATTGAATTTTCCTCCAGTAGCAGCTTTGGTATTGAGCTGTTGGTACAAAGCATCCTGGGACATTTGTGCATGTGGAGTGATTTGTGTGTGACATAACCCTGAATGGATCATGTTCATGTAGTAAAAAGCCTGAACACTGGAGAACTGTGACCAGAGGGATGGGTCAGGGGTGGGAAATTTCACACAGGTCCTCTGAGAGATCTCTTAAAGGAAAACGCCGGGGGAAACTTTTTCTTAACCCTGGCGGTGGGGCTACCCTGCACCTGCGCTGCAAGACTTAAGTGCTCGTTTTTGTCTAGGTGCAGACCTCGGAGCTGGCCGGCTGTCACAGCGCTCCCTCTGTGTAGCAATGGTATGTCTGTCAGCGACCTCACCTCCTATACACTGTAATAGAACGTGTTGACTCAAGGATCCTTAGAATGCTGCAGCAGAGGGTAGTATAACTACCGTATGTTATTTTTGCTTCTAGATCAAAATGAGCAATTAACCCTTGCAGTGCTGCGCTCTCTCCTTGTGCAGGGTGACTGGTCTTTTATCCGCCCCTTTCTGTAATAAAAACTGTTCACTTCCCCTTGTGCAGGGTGACTGGTCTTGTCTCCGCCCACCCTCATGTAATAAAGATTGGTCACTGCTGCTCTCTCTCCTTGTGCAGGGTTACTGGTATTGTATCCACCCCTTCCTGTAATAAAGACTGCTCATTCCTGTTCTCCCCTTGTGCAGGGTGATTGGTCTTGTCTCTGCCGCCTCCTGTAATAAAGACTGGTCACTGCTGCTCGCTCTCCTTGTGCAGTGTGACTGGTCTTGTCTCCGCCCACCCTCATGTAATAAAGATTGGTCACTGCTGCTCTCTCTCCTTGTACAGGATGACTAGTCTTGTCTCCACCCCCTCCTGCAGTTTTCTGCAGGCAGTCTGTAGTGGGTAGGGCCTGCTGGGTCCTGCAGCAGCTCTGCTGTATGCACAAGCTCTTGCTATTGGTTCACTCATTTAAAGGAAACCTGAAGTATAGATGTATGGAGGCTGCCATTGACTACTCTTGAGATGAGGATGATTTTCTGGTTGTTGTGCTTATTCAGAGATTTTTTGAATGTTCCAGGTCATTAACTCAGAACAAAATACAGACTGTGAGCTCTGACTTTATTTTTCTGATCTGCTTGCCTGTTGCAGGTGAGTATCTCAACATCTTGAAGCTGGAGACAGCCAGGCAATGATCAGAAGGTGACCAGCAATAGCAATCTTTATATTTCACTCAGTATGATTTTTGTTAAAAGATACTGTTAAAAAAACCTAAAAGGAGGACGCCTGCAATAGAAGAATGTTTGTTTATACTCGCCTGTCCCGCCGCCCATTTCTGTGATTGATTTTTATTTTTTCCTTTACTGCAGAGCTGCAGCCTCTGGTAGGATCGTCATATCTGACACTTCCCTGTTATTAGCACTAGGTCCTGTAACTGCCACTAGGTCCTTGGAGGCCTCGTTCACACCATATGCAGTGCGTTCTGGTCCGATTCTGGCCGGAACACACTGCATCGTATTCCAGGCCGGCTCACTTTTTTGGGGGGCAGGAGGGGGCGTGGTGGGCCATCGAAGTGAATGGCACCGCAGTCACGCCCTCCGGCCGCAATGCGATCGCCCGCACAGGATCGCAAGGCATATTGTGCCTGTGGTCCGGTGCGATCAAAATTCTGCAAGCACTATTTTGATCGCACCAGACCGCAGGCAGAATGTGCCTTGCGATCCCGTGCGGGCGATCGCATTACGGCCAGAAGGCGTGGCTATGGTGCCATTCACTTCCATGGCCCACCACGCCCCCTCCTGCCCCACAAAAGAGGGAGCCGGCCTGGAATGCGATGCAGTGTGTTCCGGTGCAGTGGAAGGGGGGGTAGGAGGGGTTATGGAGTGGAACAGGGATGCGGCCAGAGGGCGTGACTATGGTGCCATTCACTTCCAAGGCCCACCATGCCCCCTCCTGCCCTACAAAAAAGTGAGCCGGCCGGAATGCGATGAAGTGCGTTCCGGCCAGAATCGGACCAGAACGCACTGCATATGGTGTGAGCGTACCCTAACTGCCACTTGGTCCTGTAACTGCCGCTATGTCTTTCTTTCCCTGTGACAACCACTCATTTCTGGCACCCCAACACACCTGGCCAGTGCACAATAGAAGTGTGTTTTAGAGAACCACAATGCACAGATTTTATCTGTGGCTGACAATAATGCTGCATAACCTGCATTGTGGTAAGTTGGCAGCCCATTTAATATGAAGGGCTGCCTAACTCCACATTGCACAATGAATGTATATCTTGTGTCGAGGGGATAATCACAGTGCAATATTTACCTTAATTCTGGGTCCTGTGGTCTTCCTGCTCATGATGAACGGCCCGCTAAAACCCAGATCAGTCTTGTCACCACCACTCTTGCAAATGTCATCACGTGCAAGGCAGAACCATCAGCCACTGCTGCTCCTTCATTGTATTTGATGGCATAGAAATGCTTGCCGTCATTATGGTGTTAGAGAGAAGAGAACTGGAGTGCTGGAAATTGCAGTAAAAGCTGGTTAGGGTGAGTCATATTTGGTATTATCTCTTCCCCAAATAAAATGAGTAGTATCTTCTTCATACATAGGGGGAGCAGATGTATGGGTAAACATTCTTCCAGTTCATCTGGTTATGGTCAGATTGGGCCAGGGCGGGACAAATTTCAGGAGTCGGGTAACTAATGTTCCTTAAAAAAAGTCAGCTGGTGCCAACTTTTGAGGTTTTCTCTAGTTGTTATCAATGGAGCTGGCTGCTAAAGAAAAATTCTGCTGGCTCTTTGATTGTACAGACTGGCTCCTGAATTCCATTATAACTGTACTGGGCTATGATCTAGGGCAGGGATGGCCTAACTGCAGCCCTCCAGCTGTGGTGGAACTACGAATCCCATGAGGCTTTGCAAGATTCTCACAGCCACAGACATGACTCCTGGAGAGAGATGCTTCATGGGATTTGTAGTTTCACCACAGCTGGAGGGCCGTAGTTTGGCCATCCCTGATCTAGGATATCTATGCCTGACATTGTCCTCAGTAGTAAAGCAGCTGTTGGTCAAGACCATTTTTCCACAGGCCAAAACATGCATGGTCAGAGTTTGCATGTTGATGATTGCTGATTGCGCAATCCCAGCAGGTACCTTGCCCTCAAAGCCAAAAAGTATTGCAAATCACCGTCTGCCTGATGCTGTACATGAACCTCTGGCTCCTCCCGCTGTCATGAGCCTCAGGCCGTGCGTATTCTGTGTGTGTGACTTTTCCAGACTTCCAGTCCCAGGGTTAGTTAGCCGGCACCCCGGGGCGTACTTCACCTTGACGTTTTGTGTCCATCAGCCTCCTGTGATCATTTACAAACAGGTGTAGCCTGCAAGGTGCAATATGAGAACGATGGCTGAGATAATGGCCCAGCGATCACAGGTTGAGCCTACAGGTGACATGTTAAGATGGTTAACTCCTCGACAGTGGCTTCAATTGCAGGACATTGACTCAACTTCATGCAGCTTTAACAAGGGGTTAAAAAACTAATTGCCACATGATTCAGATTTCTCAGGTATCTCAGGAATAACTTTTCTTGTAAGGAGCTCTGGTTGTCGATGATTTATCACTTCAAGAATCCAGTGGAGGAAATATGTTATTGTGTAATAACACAGCCGTTTCTACATGTGCTTTTAGTTTTCTGCTGGCTGACAGTTAAGGAGAATTCGACACAGATCCATACAGATCAGTATAAAGTAAAAGGTTAGTAACTTAGCCATGACACGCAATGCGGCCTGACAGTGAACCCTGCCCTTTATCATAGCAGCCATGCCCAGCTCCTACCCTCAAGGCAAATTAATAGCTACACATGGACATTACTGGGGTTGGAGGACCTGTTTCCTGATATCTTTCAACCTGCTTGGTCCTTAGTTTTCTGACCTGACCCAATTGCCCAGTGTATGTGTGAATAGCTGCGGATGAGGGAAGGTGGAGAACCTGAAGACATCCCCCATTTGTAGTATATGGCTGGAAATGCCCATTCCAGCCAGTCAGTATTTCCTCAGCAATGATTCAGCTGCAGATATCTGCTGGGCTCTGCTGCTGACCATAGACAAGGGGAACAGCACCTGATCCAAAGTTGGCCTGATAAGTATATTGGGTCACTGGGCTTCAAGGACCTGTTGTTTTTGGTTTTTTTTTATCTCCTCCAACCTGCCCGGTCTTTTCTTTTTCCATCTGACCACATTGCCCGGTGTATGTGTGAATGCCTATAGGGGAGGGAAGGTGAAGAACCTGAGGACATCCCCCATCTATAGTAATTGGCCAGTTAGTATTTCATCAGCAAGTAGTCAGCTGCATGTATCTGCTATGGTCTGCTGCCCATAGACAAGGGGAACAGCATCTGATCCAAAGTTGGCCTGATAAGTATGTTGGTTCTATGGGTACCATCACTGGGCTTCGAGGACCTGTTTTTTGATCTCCTCCAACTTACATGGTCTT